AAATAATAAAATAAAATAAAATAAAATAAAATAAAATAAAATAGAAGTTTCACTCCATTTTTTTCCTTTGGTAAAAATAAATTTGTGAATAAAACGGTTTCCTCAGCTGAACAGCATTTAATTCTTAAAATTCCTACACTATCTGATAGACTCTATAATACAGAATACAAAATGTTAAAACAAGTAAACCCTTTTACACCACCAAGGGAGTGAGTAGGGAGAAAAGTCAGAAAAATATACAAGGCTTTGAAAGGCTGGATGTGTGGAGAATGCCAGGAGAGGGGGAGGGTTTCGTGAGGTTCTAGGCAAGCCCTTTGAAGACGTCACCTCACATACATAATGTTACAGCAGTCAGCACAGGCCTCCTGCTTTCCTATTGGTGAGCACCGTGTCAGCCGACATCAGAAGATAATCATCATTGGCTAGACAATTACAACTGGAGCAACTAGCATCCACTGCTGTTAGCACAAACCTGGCAGGCTGCTGAAACAGAAGGCAGAAAGAGCCCAGCTTCCCTTCTCACTCAATGAATTTTATGTCGCCTTACCAATCACCAGGTGATTTTGCTCCCTGGCTAGCAGCACTTCTAACTTAAGTCAGCTCTTAGTGAGAAAAACAGGTAAAGGCCAGACATCTCATAAAAGAGCAAAATGTCTCTATTTAAATGTTGTAAAATCGCAAGGACTTTTCAGTGTAAAATAAGAATTCAAAACTCCTATTTGGACCTATGAGCAGGCATTTTCCTGTACCTCAGGTAATAAACTCTGATTGACCAGGTAATATAACCAGACAGGATATTTTTCACTGGACATATAGTTTCAAGATGAGGCGCAGAATGATTCTACAAGGGAATATACTTATTACTTTGCATTTCAATTGCTATTCTAACCTATTATATATGAAACTATTTGCTAGCAAAGTAAAAAAGTCTGCAGTATTTACTTTCATGGCTAGGCCAATGAGTATGAGGTTAATCATTCATTAAAGCAGCAATAAACTTGAAAACTAGCCTCAGTTGAACCCTTTAGTGTTTACACAAATGCTACTCTGAAAGTGGGCCCCCATTCCATTAATATGTGCTATGGTTAGTAAGTATGGATTATAGGGTATGTTTCCATTAATTTGTGCTATGATTAGTAAGTATGGATTATAGGGTATGTTTAACAAAGTATTCTTATTTTAGGTCCTCTTAAATGATGCTAGTTAGCAAAGACAGCATACTGGCAAAACACTACTCCTGGCCCTTCTCACAATTCTTCAAAAGCCAATGTAGCTCACTTTTGAGGGAGATGTTTTAATTCTCTAAATTAACAAATTTTGCTTGATACTAAGAAGAGATTTGTAAGGACAACCACAGATTCTCAAAAGACAAAGTAGAAGCTTCACTATATCATGTTTTTCCTCCAGAAACTATTTCAAACCATTTTAAGTTAATGAGTCTGAAAAAGGTAAGATTTTGTGGTTTCCTCAAGTTCCTCTCTCCTCAAGAAGGTCTAAGCCTTGGTTATAAAGTTCCCTTCTCCTGTTAAAAAGGGAATGAAAAGAAAATCTGGTTCGACACTTTTTGTCCTGCATTAGCTGGATTTTATTAAAAATAAAAACTAAAACTATAAATGAGTTTCAATTTGAACCTCCCGGGTTCAAGCAATTCTCCTGCCTCAACCTCCCGAGTAGCTGGGATTACAGGCACCAGCCACCACGCCCGCTTAATTTTTTTTTTTGGAGATGGAGTTTCGCCCTGTAGCCCAGGCTGGAGTGCAGTGGCGCGATCTCAGCTCACTGTAAACTCCACCTCCCAGATTCACGCCATTTTCCTGCCTCAGCCTCCAGAGTAGCTGGGACTACAAGCCCCTGTCACCACGCCCGGCTAATTTTTTTGTATTTTTTAGTAGAGACGCGATTTCACCATGTTAGCCAGAATGGTGTGGATCTCCTGACCTCGTGATCCGTCCGCCTCGGCCTCCCAAAGTGCTGGGAGTACAGGCGTGAGCCACCATGGCCTGGCTAATTTTTTGTATTTTTAGTAGAGATGGGGTTTCACCATATTGGCCTGGCTGGTCTCGAACCCCTGTCATTAGGTGATCCACCCACCTCAGCCTCCCAAAGGGCTGGGATTACAGGCACAAGCCACCACGCCCGGCTAATAAAATTAAATTTTAAAAAGTGTTTAAAGACTTTTTGGCTGTACAGTTTTTGGGGAGGGAGGAGAATTATAAAATTGGGCACCCTGGGATATTAGGAGAAATGCACAAAATCTGGGATTAAAAAAACATGAAAGTAAGACAATTAGGGTCAGGAAGAGTTGCAAGTAAGAGGTAACAGCCAGCAGGGTTATCTGACTGCAATAAGCAATCTAAGAACATAAAATCAACAGAGAGCAGAAGCCAGGAAGGGAAAAGTCCCAAGATGTGACTCTGCCACGGTATGCAAGTTCAAGCGTGTTAACCTTCGGGTATTAAAGACTAGTGCTGGCAATAAAATGGGCACCAATCACCATTTCAACTCACTGGACATTTTCTCAAGAATGTGCCTTATGCAAAGCACTCTGCTAGGTGCTTTGCACTCTGCTAGGTGCTTTGCAGAATCAAGCGGGGGGGGAGGGTAAGACAAGAACCGTACCCTGAATAGCTGATGGTCTGTAAGTTAATATCCATGTATATAAATAAAAGTCGGTAAAGGATATTGCCAGAAAAAAGGTACAGATAAAGAATTAGGAGGAAACAGTGGTCAGAGCCTAACAGGAGCAGATACGTTGGCACATTTTTGTCATTTTCGGTCCCACGAGGGCTAAGACCTGTCTGGCTCAATACTGACTGAATGGAAAGAAGAGGCGGGAAATGGTACCAGGAGCAGGCCTAGGAAGCGGCCTCAGAGAAAAAGCAACAAGTAAATAAGAGGCAGTATCGACTGCGGTGGGGCTAGGAATGGCGGGCGTACATTGAATGGGGTCAGCCGGCAAAGCGAGGGAAAGCGGACTCCGGAAGAACAGGTTACAAGAGGACGCAGCAAGTCAGAGATTCGGCACAGAAGCAAATGCAGAGCACACAGGCTAATGCCGGAGGACTGGGGGTCCGAACAGGGCGGCTAGAGGATATGACAAACAGCTGCGCAAAAGACCCGGGCCCGGGGCTAGCCAGCAGCGCGGTTCCGGCGCCGGCCGGCTCGGGCCACCGCCCCCTCCCCGCCTCCAGCGCCACCCCCTAAGCGGGAGGAGGAAGTGCATCCAGAGAAGGACCCCGGGCGGTGGGGCTAGAGGGGCCTCGGTTGCCCCGAAACGCTGAGGCCTATCTGCAGGCTGGAACCGCGGTGTACAATCTCCTTCCGGACCCACCCCTGCACCCCCTGGCCTCAGCGGCCCAGGAGGGCACCAGCCCCGTGCCCATGTGGCTGCCGCACTTCCAGTCCTTCCGAGCGGCCCGCGTCCCCGCCTCTCAGGCTCCGGCTCGGGCCAGACGCGGCCCTTGGGCCCCTGGCGCACCGCGGCCACCAGCCACGCCGCAGCTCACCCCAAGCAGGCCTGCCCCGCCGGTGCGCGCGGCCCAGGGGGCGGGCTCCGCCTGGCAGCCGCCGCAAATGGCCATTGGGGCCCGGACCAGCCCTCGGGAAGCTGGGAGCGGGCGCGCTTCGGCTGGGCGGGAGGGGAAGGGAGCGGCGGCCGGGCCTCCCAACACTGGCGGGCGACTCCAGGGGGCTGGAGGGCAGGAAGTTGAAACCCCCTTTTCGCAGCTGCGGCCCCGTGGAACCGGCTCCTACGGCATCAACCCGACCCGGCCCCAGGCGCGCCGGCGTTTCTAGTTTCCCATTGAAGAGGGCGGGCTGGAGGGCGCGGGGCACGCGCGCTCGCGCACGCGGCGGGCGGAATCCCCCGGCACCCGGGAGACCCTGCGGCCCGACCCTCCCCAGTCAAGCGATCCCCCGGGCTGCCGGCCCCTTGCCTAGCTCCGGGGTGCGTTGGGCTTGCACTTTTCAGATCGCCAGACCCGAAGTTAAGGGGAGGAGGGGAATACCTCTGCCACAACCCTGTCTACAAGAAGCTAGATGAGCACACCCTCCTCCGTTAAATATTGCAAGGTGACACTGGATCGCCTCCCACACAGGGATTTTTCAAAAGGTCTGGCGAAGGGACTACAGTAAACAAGAAAGGTGTTTTCCCTGATTATTAGTTTTCTAGGGAAGAGCCCCTAAGGACTCTGCAGACCGATGGGGCTTTTAATCTGTGTGCCTGAACTCCAATCAGCAGCTACGCACAGAATTAGAAGTGAGTGTGTCCAAAAGGCGTTTCCGTAAAACAGAAACTTAATAATGGCGTGGCTCCACTCGCTCGGGTTCATTCATTTATTACTGTTTTCATTGTCCCCTCCTCCCCTCCCTCCCACCCGGTCTCTCTATGAAACCGGAAAGGGATCCGCGTGGGGAAAGGGGTACTAGAAAGGGAGCATCCGGCTGAAGAGCAGCAGACAGAGGAGAACAGTGAAGTAGGAGCGCTGCAAGGAGAAAGGAAGGACACAAGGGATGGGGAGACAGCGAGGACCAGGGCCAAGGGCGGCGGGTGGGAGAGGGTTAAAGGGAACAGGAGACAAGGTCCTCCCTCCACTGCCTTTCACACTCCCGTTGCGGGAGGCCAAGCGAGAAAACCCAAATCTAGATGAAAACCGGGGGGGGTGGGGGGAGGTAGCACAGGTAGGCGATCTGGACTGTGGCATCTCTCCCGCCTTCCCTGTCGCGCAGACATCACTCTTTGCACACATATATGTTCTGTGTTATATAATCTATATAAAAGATGCCTGTGTGGCCGCGGTTCACACAGGGGCACCCACAGACCGCGCGCTTCGTGCACCCCCAGCGTCTCCTGCACCCGGGAGACCGGAGAACTCAGCGATCGGCTGGCTGCCCGCGATTCATCGCTCCATTCACGCCCAGGCAGGGAATACCGACATTAAGGCACTCCGGGAAGACGCGCAGGGCTCCCGGGAACAGTATCAGGCGAAAGCATCACGTACCAGTTTTCCTGCATCCATTGGATGGCTTCATTCTCGTTGAACTGCTTTTCGAATTCATATTCTTGTAAAGTCAACACTGACATGTTCATTGGGGCTGATCTTCGGAGTCGCTACGTGTTCTCTATACAAAATAAAATAATCTGTAAAGCGCTTGATTTCGAGTGCTCTCCTATCTGCTTCCCCCACCCACCCCCCTAGGTCTTCCCCACGCCGCTCGGTCTCCAGCGGTCGTCTCTCTCCCAGCCTCTCAGCTACATCCAGGGCTGAGCATTGCCTGCGCCTCCGCTCCCAGCTCCTCTCTCTGGGGCTCTCCTCCTCCCGGCGTCCGCATCCACCGTAGGAGGAAATGAATGCCTTGCGGTCTTAGTGCCCGCACGTTTGTCCATCACCCTTTTTACTCGTCTACAGGGAAATCTCCTCCCCCTCGTGCGATCGGAAAAATTAACCCTTGGCGAGGGAGTGTTCGAAAGAGCGCGACCTCTCTCCGCCCTGGGGGACAGTTTTGTTTACGGCGAAGGTGGTTGGAGGAGTGGGGGAAGGGCTCAGAGAGAGAGAGGAAGTGGCCTGGAGGTCATCCAGATCCCCCAAGCCCAACCTCGTGGACCGCCTTGCTTTGAATGAAGTTTCAGCGTGCAGGGCGCAGCCCCGCGGCGCGTGGACCCGAGAGCTTGGCGAGTAAACGATTGGGAAATAGTAAAACCTGCCAGCTCTCTTGCAAGAGAACTCCGGGCAAATTTGCATTGAGATCACCAGTGAAGGGAATGCGCTTCCCACCTCCTCGCCCTACCGCTGGGACCACCCCCACCCCTACCCCCACCCGGGAGCTCTGGCTTTGATTCACCCTAACCCAGGCCCTGCGGACGGCAGAGCTCCTTAATCTCGTGCAGACAGGGGATGCTGAGTGCGAGAATAGTGGGTAGGCGAGAGAGGCTAGTAGCCGGAAGTGGAAGAAAGGGCTGGGAGACGGGTTAGGTGGACGGTTTAGGCACCGAGAAGGGGGGGATTAATGAACAGAGGCAGAGTGGGGAAGGAAACTGACAGGAGAACTGGACCGACTGGCCAAATGCAAAAACTTTGTTTGCATGCACGAGAAATTTGGCTTTACTTGCTGTACTTGTAGGTAGAACAGAATATGTGAGGAGAGGGCTGAATGTACTGTTGACCCCTACTGAGCCCTCAGCCTCCAAAGGGAAAAACTATTTTCTACTCCATCCATCCCTCCACTCATTTCTCCCAAAAGTTTGGAAAAACGAAATCTGAGACATGGAGGTATCTAATGATGTAATTGTAAACTTTACAAAATAATAAGGAAACCTGCTTTTAAAAAGTAGGTGGGTATTAGGACCAGAAAGAAAATTTCCTTTCTGAGAACATCCCCCCACCTCCCCAGTAGTCCAAAAAGAGTACTTTCATTCAATTTAGATTCCTCTAACCCACGAAAAGTGGGAACTGGGAGAAAAATTTTTAAAGAAGGAGGAAGAGACCAGCTGCAGTGGTGGCTGGTAATCCCAGCACTTTGGGAGGCCGAGGCAAGCGGATCACCTGGGGTCAGGAGTTCGAAACCAGTCTGGCCAATAGGGTGAAACTCCATCTCTACTAAAAATATAAAAATTAGGCGGCCGTGGTGGCGGGCACCTGTAATCCCAGCTACTCGGGAGGCTTAGGCAGGAGAATTGCTTGAACCCGGGAGGCGGAAGTTGCAGTGAGCCAAAATTGTGCCACTGCACTCCAGCCTGGGTGACAGAGGGAAACTCTGTCTCAAAAAAAAAAAAAAGAAAAGAAAAGAAAAAAGAAAGAAAGAAAAAGAAAAAAAGGAAGGACTAATGAGAAAGTAAAGAAAGAATTTTTAAAATCCAGGACAATATATAGATTAAAGGACTAGCCTAGTTGATTAGCAAATTAATGTATACATTGGCACTACCAAAGATTCTGTGTAGGGACTGTCCTCATCTCCCCCATTAAGGGTTGTCTTTCTTTTTTCTTTTCTTTTTTTTTTTTTTTTTGAGAAGGAAGAGTCTCGCCCTGTTGCCCAGACTGGAGTGCAGTGGGGCACTCTCGGCTCACTGCAACCTCCACCTCCCGGGTTCAAACGATTCTCCTATCTGTCTCCCAGTAGTTGGGATTACAGGCAAGCACCACCATGCCCGACTAATTTTTGTATTTTTAGTAGAGATGGGGTTTCACCATGTTGGCCAGGCTGGCTGTGATCCACCTGTCTCAGCCTCCCAAAGTGCTGGGATTACAGGCGTGAGCCACCATGCCTGGCCAAGGGTTTTCTTTCTAGAGACCTCTACAGTACAAGTCTACATCACTTTGAAGTAAGGCCCAGGCCAAAACTCTTGGCAAGATTGGGCTGGAAGATAGGTGTCGCCAGATGAGAGAGAATGATTTTGGCACAGTGCCTGAGCCTGTGAATAATCAATAAATATTTGTAAAGTGAATGATTGATCAAATAAATGAAATATGGTAGGAAGTGAGAAAAGAATCAAGACAGAAAATCCGCTTTGGGTGGCTGAGGCAAGATGATTGCTGGAGACCAGCCTGGGCAACACAGTGAGACCCAATCTCTACAAAAAATAAAAAATTTACCAGGTGTGGTGGCACATGCCTGTAATCCCAGTTACTCTGGAGGCTGAGGTGGGAGGATGGCTTGAGCCTGGGAGGTCAAGGCTGCAGTGAGCCATGATCACACCACTGCAGTCCAGCTTGGGTGACAGAGCAAGACCTTATCTCAAAAACAAACAAGCACTGTCTGTGAATTTGAAAACTGGTGACTCTATATGGAAAGCAATTTGGCAGCCTATATGATAATTTTATTTATTTATTTTTTAGAGATGGGGCCTTGTTATGTTGTCCAGCCTGGACTGGAATGCCCATCTCAGCCTCCCTGGATGCCTAGCTAGGACTACATGCACCCAGCATATATCACAATTTTAAATCCACACTATTAATTCACCAGAATTTTGTTTTTATTTTTTGTTTGTTTGTTTGTTCGTTTGTTTTGAGATGGAGTCTCCCTCTGTCACCCAGACTGGAGTGGAGTGGCACGATCTTGGCTCACTGCAACCTTAGCCTCTTGGGATCAAGCGATTCTCCTGCCTCAGCCTTCCAAGTAGCTGGGATTACAGGAATGCGCCACCATGCCTGGCTAATTTTTGTATTTTTAGTACAGGCGGGGTTTCACCTTGTTGGCCAGGACGATCTTGAATCCCTGGCGTCAGGTGATCTGCCCACCTCAGTCTCCCAAATTGCTAGGATTACAGGCGTGAGCCATTGCACCTGGCCTACCAGATATATTTTTAGTACATATTCTTCTGAGCTCTTGGGAATAACAAATGAGACAAACAGGGCTCTTGCTCACTTGGAGCTCACATTCCAGAAGGGAAGACAAAATAATTTCTTAGAGAATGAAATGCTAGCATTACAATTTAACAGCATGACCTGAAGGCCTGGGAGTGCTCATTTAAACCGTGAAGCCCTCAGGGAGAAGGACTTTGAGTTGAGACCCCACTGGCAAAGAGCCAACCACCTCTTGCAGAAGTGTTACAAAGAAGAATGAGCAAGTACAAAGGCTCCTAGGTAAAGAATATATTTGCAAGATTGAGGACAAAAGGCTGGTGTGGCTTCAGGCCATCACTAAGGAGTAATTGAAAGAAACAGGTTGAAGAGACAGGCAGGGGTCAGACCTTGGCCAAAGGTAAATCAAGATAAGGTGTGTAGATTTTATTCTCAACTGCAGTGGAGTGGAGGAGGATAAAAGAATGTTGAACCGAATAATAGCATGATAATTCCTAGTAGATCCACTGCTATGGATATATTCACCAAAACACTCCAGATATATGTCTAAGATAATCAGCATTGGGCTGGCATGGTGGCTCACGCCTGTAATCCCAGCACTTTGGGAGGGCGAGGTGGGCTGTTTGCTGGAGCCCAGGAGTTCAAGCCCAGCCTGGCCAAGATGGCAAAAACCTGTGTCTACAAACAAACAAAAAAAACATTAGCTGAGCATGGTGGCAAATGTGTTTAGTCCCAGCTACTCAGCAGGCTGAAGTGGGAGGATCACCTGAGCCTGAGGAGGTCAAGGCTGGAGTGAGTTGTATTGCACCACTGCACTCCAGCCTGGATGACAGAGTGAATCTCAAAAAATGACAACAACAACAAAGAAAACCCCCACAAATATATTCAGCACTGTTTATAATAAAACACTGAAAATAATAGTTTAAGGGATACTTGGAAGGACAGCTGAGAAAGGAATGAGGCCAGTAGACCCAAGTTAGGTCAAGTTGATTCATTGTCAGTCCTGCCGGGCTGCCTCTCAACAAAAACAGAGGAGGCAACCCCACTTAGGGCGTCGATCTAGGTCAGGGTTAAGGAAGAAGAAAAGGCCGGAGGGTGGGGGATTCTTTGTGCCAGGTGTCTGACTGCTTCCTGGAGATTCTTTTGTCTTGCCAGTTCTTTTTGTTTTGTTTTTGTTTTGAGACGGAGTCTCGCTCTGTCGCCCAGGCTGGAGTGCAGTGGTGATCTCGGCTCACTGCAAGCTCCGCCTCCCGGGTTCTCGCCATTCTCCTGCCTCAGCCTCCCGAGTAGCTGGGACTACAGGCACCCGCCACCATGCCCGGCTAATTTTTTGTATTTTTAGTAGAGTCGGGGTTTCACTGTGTTAGCCAGGATGGTCTCGATCTCCTGACCTCGTGATCCGCCCGTCTCGGCCTCCCAAAGTGCTGGGATTACAGGCGTGAGCCACCGTGCCCGGCCTTTTGCCAGTTCTGTTGTGTAAGGTAGACTTCGTGACGGCATCCTGGAACAGCTGGCCTCTGGTCAGACAGTTACAGGAGGGTTTGGGGTAGGGGGGTTTACTTTTGGCCTTTGGGGCATAGGTCTATGGGAGGGGGAAACAGTCCAGTTGGGTGGACCCTAACATCCCAGCCTTTTAATAGCTGATGGAGAAGGGGGGTTGATTTCATCAGACTGCTTCAAACTGAGAGGGGGCGGTGGCTAGTGGAAAGGCTGATATTTTTCCCATGACTTGGGTCTGAGAAGGACTGGAGATTTTGAGAATTTGTGTGGGATTTGTTACTGTTACTCTTTGGATACCTGTCAGGGGAGTGTTAGGGTATAGTTGCATAAGCTAGAGGAGAGGGTGCGTAGGAGGACTCCTGAGGAAAATTCACGTTTTAT